CATAGTGAAAAAAGCTGCAGGTGGCGGGTGCAAGAGGCTCAATCTCGACCCCAAGAACCTCAAGCACGAGACCAAGAAGTTCTGGACCCGCTTCCCTGCCCTCATCAAGGTCAGTATGGCTCCCTCACTGATTTTCGTTGGACCTTTAGAGCTTCTAAAAACTCTCAAAAGATCCGTGTAGTTAACTCCTTTTGGGGCTCGATCCGATCATGTAGCCCTAACTAACTAACCCCTCCCTGCCTGCCTGCCCCTAACCTAACCCCGCACCCGCCAGGTGGAGGTGCTGCTGCTGGCGCAGCTGACAAGGCAGGCGGATTTGGCTCCAGCGGAGCTGCTCGCATGCCTACCAATCCCGTCCTGCCTCCCCCCCCCACTCGTGTTGCTGGCAGGTGGAGCTGCTGCTGCTGGCGCAGCTGACACGGTAGGCGGACTCAGTGCCAAAGGAGCTTCTCAGCTGCTCACACTCTTCCTCCCTGTCTCTCCCCCCCTTCCTGTCTGTCTGCCTGCCCTGTCTTCTCACTCGCAGGTGGAGCTGCTGCTGCTGGCGCAGCTGACACGGCAGGCGGACTCAGTGCCAAAGGAGCTTCTCAGCTGCTCACACTCTTCCTCCCTGTCTCTCCCCCCCTTCCTGTCTGTCTGCCTGCCCTGTCTTCTCACTCGCAGGTGGAGCTGCTGCTGCTGGCGCAGCTGACACGGCAGGCGGACTCAGTGCCAAAGGAGCTTCTCAGCTGCTCACACTCTTCCTCCCTGTCTCTCCCCCCCTTCCTGTCTGTCTGCCTGCCCTGTCTTCTCACTCGCAGGTGGAGCTGCTGCTGCTGGCGCAGCTGACACGGCAGGCGGACTCAGTGCCAAAGGAGCTGCAGCGGGACTTCAACACCATTCTGAAGCTCACGCCGCGCCTCATGGAGGAACTTATCAAGGTGCGTTGCGGTGTGGAGTGGTGCGCTGCGGTGTGTGGCATTGCTCGTGAGAGGCAAACAGGACTCGGTGCCTGCATGCCAGGGACACAGCCGGCGGACTCAGTGCCAAAGGAGCTGCAGCGGGACTTCAACACCATTCTGAAGCTCACGCCACGGCTCATGGAGGAGCTGATCAAGGTGCGTTGCGGTGTGGGGTGGTGCGCTACGGTGTGTGGCATTGCTCGTGAGAGGCAAACAGGATTTGATGCCTACCGGGGACACACACAGCAGGCAGGCGGACTTGGTTCCAGGGGGGGGCTGCGGCGGGACTTCAACACCATTCTGAAGCTCGCGCCGCGCCTCATGGAAGATCTCATTAGGTGTGATTGGTTTCATGCCATCGAGCTCTCTTAAAGCCATGCTTTTCCCCACCCGCTTTTCACACCTAATGAGTTCTACCAAGCCATGCTTTTCCCCACCCCCCACCCTGCCCCACCCTCTCCTTTCCCATGTGCTCTCCTCGTCTCTCCTGCCCACCAGATCTCTCTCTACCCCCGTCCTCCTGTGGGCCATGCCTGGTTGCGCCCGGCAGTTGGCGCCATCGAGCTCTCTCAGAGCTTCTATCAGGCCGTGCCGCTGTCGGCCCGCAAGCAGACGGACAAGGGGGGTAGCGCGGAGGGCATTGCTGCTCTGCTGCAGCTGCCGCATGTGGACGAGGGGGTGGTGAAGAAGCTCACGAGGAAGGTGAGAAGCGGTGTTGGAAGGTGAGGAGCGGTGTGTATGGTGGGTTGGGAGCACCAGATCTCTCTCTACCCCCGTCCTCCTGTGGGCCATGCCTGGTTGCGCCCGGCAGTTGGCGCCATCGAGCTCTCTCAGAGCTTCTATCAGGCCGTGCCGCTGTCGGCCCGCAAGCAGACGGACAAGGGGGGTAGCGCGGAGGGCATTGCTGCTCTGCTGCAGCTGCCGCATGTGGACGAGGGGGTGGTGAAGAAGCTCACGAGGAAGGTGAGAAGCGGTGTTGGAAGGTGAGGAGCGGTGTGTATGGTGGGTTGGGAGCACCAGATCTCTCTCTACCCCCGTCCTCCTGTGGGCCATGCCTGGTTGCGCCCGGCAGTTGGCGCCATCGAGCTCTCTCAGAGCTTCTATCAGGCCGTGCCGCTGTCGGCCCGCAAGCAGACGGACAAGGGGGGTAGCGCGGAGGGCATTGCTGCTCTGCTGCAGCTGCCGCATGTGGACGAGGGGGTGGTGAAGAAGCTCACGAGGAAGGTGAGAAGCGGTGTTGGAAGGTGAGGAGCGGTGTGTATGGTGGGTTGGGAGCACTGGAAGCCTGGAGGGTGGTTGGATCACATAGAGTGGGGGGGCAGCGCGGAGGGCAGTGCTGCTCTGCTGCAGCTGCCTCATGTGGACGAGGGGGTGGTGAAGAAACTCACGAGGAAGGTACGAACGAAGGAGTGGAGAAAGGTGTGGAACGGTATGGGAGGGTGAGAGGTGGTGTGGGATGGTGGGGTGGGAGCACTGGAAGCATGGAGGGTGGTTGGGAACACATAGAGTGGAGGGGCAGCGCAGAGGGCATCGCTGCTCTGCTGCAGCTGCCGCACGTGGACGAGGGAGTGGTGAAGAAGCTAACGAGAAATGTGAGAAGCGGTGTGGGCAGGGCTGTCTGTTTGCATCCCCCACGAGATGCTCGTCGACACTCCCTTCCCCTCTCCCTCCTGTCCCTCTCCCTCCCGTCCCTCCCCCTCCTTCCCCTCCCCCCTCCAAACAACACAAGCTCAAAACCCTCCAGGAGCTGAGGGAAATGCCAGAGGAGGCTCGCACCGACCTGCTCACCACCGTGGGAGGATTGAGTCCCTCAGAAGCGAGTGACGTGGAGGCCACTCTGAGCACCATGCCTGAGATGCTGGTGGACGCAGCGTGCATCACGCAGGGCGCAGACGACGGCATTCAGGACGTCGACGTGGTAACCCTCCGCATCTGGCTCACCCTGCGCCTTCCCCTCTCCCATCTCTCACTTCCCCTCTCCCTCCCTTCCCCCCATCCCTCCCTGCCACCCCAATCAACAGAAGCTGAAGAACCTCCAGGAGCTCAGGGAACTAAGCGAAGAGGCTCGCACCGACCTGCTCACCACCGTGGGGGGTCTCAGCACATCAGAGGCGACTGACGTGGAGGCCACTCTGAGCACCATGCCTGAGATGCTCGTCGACGCGGCGTGCATCACGCAGGGAGCAGACGACGGAATCCAGGACGGCGACGTGGTAACCCTCCGCATCTGGCTCACCCTGCGCCGCGGGACCAGCGGCAGCGGACCCGTCGTGGCCCACCCCCACATGCCTCACTTCCCGTACCGCAAAGACGAGGCCTTCTGGCTGATGCTGGCAGACCAAGCCGGGAACTCCGTCTGGCTCTCCCAGCGCGTGACCTTTCTGGATGAAACGGCGGCGATTCGGGCTGCGGCGGATTACACGAGAGAGACGGTGGAGGCCGAGGGGTTTGATGATGCGAAGGTGGCGAGGGAGGTGAAGGAGGCGGTTGAGAGGGTGAAGGGCGGGGCAAGGCTGGTGATTGGGAAGTTCCAGGCTCCGGCGGAAGGGGTGTATGCGCTGACTGTCATGGTGATGAGCGATGTTTGGATCGGGTGCGATAAGAAGGTCCCTTTGAAGATTAAGGTAAGCCTATTGCCGAAACTCAAATATCTACCCTTGGTGGTTGGCATGTCATGTCATGGCATGGTTTGGGATTGATCTGTATCCAAGCATGAGGTCTGGGCGCCTGCCGAAGGGGTGTAGGGCTGACGATGATGGTGATGAGCGATGTGTGGATCGGATGTGACAAGAAGGTACCTCTCAATATCAAGGTATGTGTGGGGTGGGATGGGATGGGATGGGATGGGATGGGTTGAGTGCATAACTTGCAGTTGCTCTCTGTCTTCCCCCATGCAAGTGGGCAAGAGAATAAGGGCTGGAACAAGGGGGGCAGTGGTGTCTTCGGAGGGGCTTTGGAGAGAGTGACAAGGTGTTCAGTATGGTTCCTTTTCCAAACTCTCTCCCTCCTTGCCTCCCCACCTCCCTTTCCATACCCTTCAGGTGGGCAAGAAGACAAGGGCTGGAACGAGGGTGGCGATGGTACCTTCAGAGGGGGCTGGGGATAGTGATGAGGAGGGAGAGGAGGAGGAGGGAGAAGGGGAGGAGGAGGGGTATGAGGAGGATGAGGACTACATGAGTGAGTATAGTGAGGATGAGGAGGAAGAGGGGGACGAGGGGAAGAAGGGAGGGAAGGAGGAGGGTGATAAAACGGAGGGCTCGGATGGCAGTGAAGAGGAGGATGAATCTGAGCCGTTGATAGATGGCAAGAAGAAATGACAGGTCATGGTAGAATCAATCTCTGGTTGCATCATGGCATTCTTTCCATAACACCACATCTTGATCAATTTCTGTAGGCTTATTTAGTACACCTTGATAATTATAGCACAAGATGATTACAAACAACAATACCACCTCCTAATGATGTTAGTGAAGCACTCAAAAGGTGGCAAAGCAAGCACAGAGAAAGCAATCTGCATTGCTTACAAGAGAACTGCTGACTGGATACAGTGCATCTGCTGCTTAATCTCCCAAACACTAAGCGTTTTTATTTAAACTGCAGAGCTCCCACCATGTATGGTAAAAACATTAAAACACATCACTTGCGTTTTCGCTTGCCCTTGCCTCTCTTGCCTGTCCTACCAGAATCCTGTGGCGGGGCAAATAGGTATAATGTGCAGAAACAAATTTCACTCATTTAGGAGTGCCGGTATGTGGAAAGGAAGGAAGCACAACACATATCACAAGGCAACAGGCAGTGGAAAGACTGGAACAGCAGTGTAATACTAAACCCCATAGGATGGACATGGGGAAGTAGGCTCGGGTGGGAGTGGAGGGGACCTATGGGAGGGGAGGGGAGGAAGGGCTGGACTGGGGCTGCAGTGAACCCCATACTGAACCCCATACTGAACCCCATACTGAACCCCACTGCGAACCCTGCAGTGAAACAAGGTCCGCCAGCATGCCATGTATCATGAGGAGCTGGGATTCAGAGACTTACCCTGAGGTGTGAACTCACGGCCTAACCCTGCGGTGTGAACTCACGACTTACCCTGACGTGTTGTCGGTAGGCAATGCGGCCGTAAAGGGTTTTCCCTGCTGCTGTTACATACACCTGCAGCACGCACACATGGACGGGATGGGAGGGACGGATGCACAGAAGAGACTGCCTCAGAGGAAATCATATTTTTAGGCGCCTCGAGAAATAGTCTTCCCTGCTGCTGTCACATGCACCTGCAGCACGCACACATGGGCGCGATGGGAGGGATGTATTTTCGAGTCGACTCAAAAACATGCACCTGCAGCACGCACACATGGACGGGACGGGAGGGACGGATGCACAAAAGGGACTGCCTCAGAGGAAAACCTTTTTTTTAAGCGACTCATAAAGTGCAAACAGCTCATCTTCATGAAAATCACATTTGAGAATTCTCAAAAGTGATTTTCACGCTTGCTGCGGTTCGAATCCACGTTTTCTTCCACCTTCCGGGCCTCAAAGTGCAAACAGCTCACCTTCTTGCCGCCCTCTGACACCCATTGCCCGCCGCTGCTACCAGCAGCACCTGTACCACCACCACCACCACCAGCACCTGTACCAGCAGCAGCAGCAGCAGCAGCAGCAGCCCTAGCAGCAGCAGCAGCAGCAGCAGCACCACCTCCTCTCCTCCTTCCACTGCTCCCTTGCTGCTGCTGCCACCCAAAGCCCTGCCCTCCCATCCCCTCCCTCCCACTCCCAGCAGCTCCCACAGCGGCACCAGCTGGGCGGCCTCTTCTGTCCGCATCTGCTCCAAAAGACAACCCCACACCAAACTGGCCTCGGTAGTCGACGAAAACAGGGTCACCGTTGGCGCCCGCACCAGCCGGGCGGCCTCCTCTGTCAGCATCTGCTCCGGAGGGAGGTTCGGCTCCAAACTGGTTTCGGTAGTCGATGAAAACAGGGTCACCGTTGGCATCACACCCACGCTCCTCCAGCCAACCTACCAGCTGCAGGTGGGGCAGGCGCCGCTGCAGCAGCTGCCGAGTAGCCTCAGACAGAGCGGGTGTTGCTGGTGTGTGTGTTGCGGGTGGCTGATGCATGGGGCTTGACAGCACAGGTGTTGCGGCCGGTGTGTGCATTGGGGGCGCACGTTGCATGGTGTCAGACAGAGCGGGTGCCTGTGATGGGGGTGCCTGTTGAAACTCTTTTCGAGACGACTCAGGAGTTTGTGCGAACGGTGTCTGCTGCGCGACGCCTGGCCTTGGCATGCCAATTGACAAGACAGGTGTCTGAGTTTCAGGCGGCTGACGTTGCAGCGAGTCAGTGAAACGGGCTGGTGGTTGAACCACAGAGCTCCGTCCCTGCGTGCTGCCAGTTCCCGTTGCTCCCTCCGACACATCTGCATGTGACCTCCCCTCCTCGTCTCCATCGCAGAACAGCCGCCGCCGCAACCCATCCACCTCTCCAAACCTCTCCTCTCTCCCCTCACCCTCCTCTCCTCTCTCATCCGGCTCCTCTTCCTCTCTCCCCTCACCCTCCTTTCCTCTCTCATCCGGCTCCTCTTCCTCTCGCCCCTCCGGAGGTGTGTCCTCTATATCTTCTACTTCTGCCATGTCTCTCACACCCACCATCTCAATCTCATCCTCAATATCATCATCTATCCGCAACCACGTCTGGGGCAGTCGAGGCATCGTTGGGCAGGACATGGGGCGTTTAGACGGTACTGGAGCAGGCATTAACGGGGATGCAGGGGTACGCCCTACACAGCTGGATGAGCGGTGACAGCTTGCTGTTGCTACACACCCTGGTGCTGTTGGCTTTGATGGTGGCGGGTTGCCTGTTGCTGCTGCTGCTGCGGCTGCTGCTGCTGTGTTTGCTCGTCGCCTGGGTGGCGGCGTGGCTGCTGCCAATGCTGGTGCTGATGGTGACAGCAGTACAGGAGAAGGCGAGCTGCACACAAACCCCATGCCTGCTTTCACAGGCGCCTCTGACTGGCTCCCATCCCCCACTTCCTTCCGTCTCTCCTCCTTCGTTTCCTCCTCCTTCCTTCTCTCCTCCTTCCATCGATCCTCCTCCATTCGCTCCTCCTCTTTGCTCTCTCCCGCCCTGCCCCTTACCTCTACAGCCTTCCGCAGCCTTCTGAACCTCCTCCCTCCGTCTCCCTCCCCACTTGCAGAAGCACCACCACCACGACTGCGAGCAAACTCAGCAGCAGGAGCTGCTGTACCACCACCAACACCACCACCACCAGAGAAATCAGCAGCAGCAGCAGCAGCAGCAGCAGCACCAGACAATTCCACCTTCACCTTCTTTCCACTCTCAACCCTCCCAGCAGCAACGTCTCCTTGTTGCCCGTCCATCTCTGCCATGCCCCCATCCCCCAACGTGTCCCCCTCCCCATCCCACCCCTCCAAACCCAGCGAGAAGCTGGGTGCGTCCAGACCCTGTGACGGCTGAAACCCCATCCCCGATTCTTGCGGCGCCTCAAAAGCCGTCCCATGCCTCGCGTCCCTCTTTTGAGGTGCCTCAAACAACGAGAAACTGGGTGCGTCCAAGCCCTGCGAAGGGAGGAAGCTCATTGCCTCAGGTTCCACCTGAAGCTCAGACGGCAGCACGTGAAGGGAGAAGGAGGGCGGTTCAAAGTCAAACTCTCCCATCGCCGTCCCTCCCTCGGAGGCCTCTCCTTCGTCTTGTACACACCGTGCGTCCTCATCTGCTGGTAATTTCTCCTCTGCCCCCCTTAACTTCTCCTCTTCCCTTCCTCTCTTTGCACACTCTCCTCTCTCCTCCCCTCTCTCCTCTTCTCCTCTCTCCTCTTTTTCTCTCTCCTCCTCTCCACTCCCCTCTCCCCTCCCTTCTCTTCTATCCGCAGCACCTGTCTGTGCCATCTGACCATCGCCTCCTCCCTTCCCTCTCCATTCGCCTTCCTCATTTCCAATCCCTTCTCGCCCTCCCGCTTCTCCTCCCTTGTTCCCGTTCACATCCATTTCTCCTCCTTTCTTCCCTTTCTCTGCTTCCTTTCCCCCTCTTCCCTGCTCGTCCTGTATCCTTGTCCTACCGCCCCCACTTCTGTCCTCCTCTTGTGAATCTGAACCAATCTCCAACCCATCCACCTTCTCCCTCCCTCCTTCCCTTGCACTTTCCATGTCACATTCGTGCGTGGACTGCTCAATCAGGGACCGCCACGTGGCTTCATCCTCAGGCTGAGTCATCATGGAGTCATCACTGTCAGCATCCCTGTCATAACTGTCAGCATCTTTGTCAACATCACTCGCACCCCTCGTTTCGTCTTGTTCCTCCCCTCCAGCCCACTCCTCCCTTTCAACTGCTTCCTGTACTCCCATCCTCCCTCGTCTCTCCTCTCCCATATCCTCTCCCATCCCCTTTCCTGCCTCCTGCTCCTCCTCCTCCTCCTCCTCCTCCTCCTCCTCCTCCTCCTCCTCCTCCTCCTCCTCCTCCTCCTCCTCCTCCTCCTCCTCCTCCTCCTCCTCCTCCTCCTCGCCCCCTATCACACGCCTCCTCTTCCTCCTCCCACACTCTCTCTCGTGCTGCTCCTTTAACCCCTCAGGTCCACAGTTATCCTGCTCTTCCTTCTCTGCCTCCTTCTCACTTCCTTCCACCTCCTCCCCTTCCTCACCTGCCACCTCCTCCTCCTTTTCCTCCTCATTTTCCTCTTCCTCCTTTCTCTCCTCTCCCTCCTCTCCCTCCTCGTCCCCGCCATCATCCAACCAATCACCATCCTTTACCTTCCTCTCACCCCGCACTCTCAAATCATCCACCAACCACTCACCACTGTCGAAATCCGTCCGACCCTTATCGCCATCACCATCATCATCACAACCACCATCGCAACCACCACCACCACTACCACCACCACCGTTGTCATCATCATCATCATCCGACCAATCAGCAATGGTTTTGATCCTCCTCCTCCTCACCACAGCAGGTATCCCACACCGCCATGCAGTCGGATGAAACACCGTGCCACTTTCTAACCCCCCTGTATTGTAACTTCCAAACTTCCCTCTAAGATCATTCCCCATTGCAGTCACATCCAGCCCTCTCAAACCCCCAAACTCCCCACTTTCACTGACGCTCCTCCATGCTCTCCCTCCCATACTCCCCACTCCCACTCTCGCTCCTTCCCTCCCCCTCACTCCGCCCCCACTCCCTGTAACCCCTCTCTCTCCAACAAAATCTCCTCCTTCTCCTCTGAAACCTCCCCCACTTACCCCCCCTCCCTCACTTGCTCCCCCTTCCCCTCCCCTTCCCCCTCTCCCATCCTCTCCTCCTCCCCCTCCTCCACCTCTGCCTGCCACTGGCTGTGCTTGACTTTTCCGTTGCCAACTGGACCAGATAGGCTGTTGCAAGGAAAAAGACAATCGAGGCTTCTGCGAAGCGCTGTGCTTTCCCTTGAACGGCCTCTTTCTCGTTGGGTCCTGACGTGGCGGCTCAGCCACTTTGGACACGTCATCCTGACTCGGCACTAAATCGAGCTCAATCACCTCCACCGTAACTCCTAAAGTCACATCATCTAATGTCACACCTCCTGAAGTTACACCTTGCCTTTTTGCGGATCCTCCCACTCCTCCATCAGTCACATCACGTACAGTCACGCCCTGTCTAGTAACAAATTCGTGACCCGTTTTCTCTGCTGATGGCGCTGCTGTTGCGCCATCCGCTCCGTGCGAGTCCCATCTGAACCGAACGGACGGCTGTGATGGGGCCTGCGAAACTGATGGCTGTGAACGATCTGGCTGCGATGGACTGGGCGAAACCTGTTGCGAAGATGTTACGGGTTCCTGCGACAAGTAACGCGACAGTGGTGCCTGAATCTTGCGACGGGATTGGCTAAGCGGGAGTGGCCGTGAGCTATTTCTGGGCTTGCCACGTGGCGGCATTGTAGCGGCGGTGGATCCAAGACCGCGAATGAAACCCCTGGCCTCTTCTTTGCTTGTCGACGAAAGCGGTTTTGCAAACACGAATATTTCAATTATAGGATAGTAAGTCAATAGCTCCTTATATATTACGGCGAGTCTGAGGTGTCACGAATCAAATCATCTGGGCAACGCGAGGTAGAGGCGAAAAAGCCACGACAGGAACTGAAACCCTAACAAATAACCGCTCACTCAAGTCAAAGCCACCCCTTACTGCGCTTGTTCAAAACACTAACCGGAGCAGCCGCAACAATCCCAACGGTCGGTAAGACTGGACTCAACTCAACCCAGGGTAGTGGTGTAGTCGAATGGCGCTCTGCCAGTTAGAGCCAAGCAAAACCTCCAAGGTGTGAGGCGTCAAGTTGACGACGACTAGCCGTTTATTCTCGACTATTTTGAGGGGTGTGCGGGACAGAATCGAACGGATTCAAATATTCGAATTGGGGGTACACTCCATTACTGTGCAAATTCTGCTAAATTGGCATTGTACAGCTGTGCTGATTTTCGCTTGATCACAAACTCTTATGTTGTGCTGTTTATGGTTCAACAACAACAACAGATGACAATAATGAAAGGTTTTCAACCAACCAAAAGCAGATTTGCCTTGACCATGATTCTGCACTTCTTATTCTCTGCCTCACTTACTAGCTCATTCTTACAGTAGGTGCACGTGCCTCTTATTTCCGCCAACCTAGCCCCACCACTCCCTAGGCTTCGTAGGGAGCTTGTAGTCCCGTCGTGGTTCCTAGATCCCGCCCTACTACCAGCGACTTTGCACTTGGCATCGAATCCGACACGTGGTTTGCACACGCTAGCACTCATGGCACAGCCAGTCTATTCCTATGCCAGCCGCGTACTGGGACGATCTTAGTATTAGTGCTAATTAGGTTGATAAACAGATAATTTCGACGTTTAGATAGTTCGATACATCACTCCGATTCTGTGCATGTTCGACCGCATTTCGAGCGCTTCATACGTAAATCTGTCTGCTGCCAGGCTGCTGCACTGAAGGCATACGAACCGTCAGTTTTAGGAAACGCAACTTGATTGTCGGCGCCAGTAGCATTCGCCGGTTCCCGAGCCAAATTGATCGTTGTTCTCTTCCTAGTGACCAACGGTTTGGATTCAATTCGGGTAGTTAGTTTCGTGTCCTGCTAAAGACCTATCGGATTAAGCCTGAGCGGGTACAGAGCTTTAGACGAGGGATTCTGTCTCGTTATTGTTAGAAGCCGTTACAAAAGTCGTCGCGGAACTCCGTACTTTTGCCGTGACTTGGAACGTTCTGTACGCGTTTCAAGGTTGAGGCGGCTCGACGGAGGAGCGGGAGACGTCGCGGACTACACACTTCTGTATCGAATTGACGTATATCGAATCAGCTTGCCAGAATGAGTGTACGTGCCATGGCCTCGCAATCTGATATTCTTCTTCCCTGTTCGCCCTTTCCTCCCCTTTTTCCCCTCCGACCCCATTCAATCCGCTTCTCTCCTTTCCTTCTCCCCTTTTCCTGCTCCCGCTTCCCTCCTCCCAAATGTCACTTGCTCTGTCGTTAAAGTCTTCCGTCTTCCGTGAATTGCCTGAATCGGCAGCAGGAGTCAGCGCAGCGATTCGTGCCTTTATTATGCGTGACTTTACTGCATGTGTTTCTAATGCCGTACCAAACTTTTGCGCTCCCGATTCCTCCTCCTCTCTCCCTTTAACCGTTTGCCTCGGCTGCAGAAGGAACTGGTGCAGCAGTTCGTTGCATTCCCTGTTGTCCCCAACCATGAGATGTATGTGAAAGTTGCATATCCCGCGCATCCCCCCTTTTCCTCATATTCCCCCATCCGACCCTACCCCGCACCCCCCTCCCGCTCTCTCTGCTCCATCTCACCCCCATCCCAGAGCCGTCTGAATCGACAGCAGAAGGAGGCAGTACAGCAATTCGTGGCGATCACAGGCACGAGGTGAGAATGCCATATGCATGTGCACAGCACAGACGCGTGGTGAGCACGCGCGTGGTGAGCACAGCACAGGCACGTGGTGAGCACAGCACAGGCACGTGGTGAGCACAGCACAGGCACGTGATGAGCACGAAGGCCTGAGCGATGAATGCCATTTCTTGCAGCCTTCCCCGTCCTATGCATCCCTGCTCACGTAACGCTCCCACATTCCCCTTCCAGCGACCTCGGGGCACTAGCGGCGCTGAGCCCCAGCGAGTGGAACATGGAGCTGGCGTTCAACCTCTTCTACTCCTCCACCTCGGCCTCTCTCATTCCCTCCCTCCCCTCCCTCCGCTCCCTCCCTCCCCCCACCAGTGACCGGGGGGCACTAGCGGCCCTGCGAGCCAGCGAGTGGAACATGGAGCTGGCGTTCGACCTCTTCTACTCCTCCTCCACCTCGGGTCAGCAGCTGAGGGCTCTGGGGCGCTCTGCTGCTCCTAAAGTGGACCCTCGGCAGCTGGAGCATCCGTTTCTCAGATACAAAGGTGAGATAAAGGAGATAGGGTGGGGGGGAGGGGGGGGGGGGGGTGTGTAAAGGTCAGCAGCTGAGGACGTTGGGGCGCTCTGCTGGTCTCAGAGTGGACCCTCGGCAGCTGGAGCAGCTGCTTCTGAGATACAAAGGCGGGGCTTGTGCTGGGAATGCGGGATGAAAAGGGTTATGGGAATGCGGCAGCTGGGAATGCCCGGAGCTGAGGGTCATGGGACGTGGTGCTGGCGCTAGAGTGGATGTGGACCCTTGGCAGCTGGAGCAGCTGCTTCTGAGATTCAAAGGTGGGGCCCAGTTGATTGTGTGCAAGCACACACCTACCTCATTCTGATTTTTGAGTCGACTCAAAAAAAGGTGGGGCCTCGATAGTTGTGGTGCCCACATTGATTCCCAAGCGTTTGAGATGCTCCAAACCTCTTTCTCCCACCACCCATTCTTTTGAGTCGACTCAAAAGTCACCAGGTGGGGCCTCGATAGTTGTGGTGCCCACATTGATTCCCAAGCGTTTGAGACGCTCCAAACCTCTTTCTCCCACCACCCATTCTTTTGAGTCGACTCAAAAGTCACCAGGTGGGGCCTCGATAGTTGTGGTGCCCACATTGATTCCCAAGCGTTTGAGACGCTCCAAACCTCTTTCTCCCACCACCCATTCTTTTGAGTCGACTCAAAAGTCACCAGGTGGGGCCTCGATAGTTGTGGTGCCCACATTGATTCCCAAGCGTTTGAGACGCTCCAAACCTCTTTCTCCCACCACCCATTCTTTTGAGTCGACTCAAAAGTCACCAGGTGGGGCCTCGATAGTTGTGGTGCCCACATTGATTTCCAAGCGTTTGAGACGCTCCAAACCTCTTTCTCCCACCACCCATTCTCCTCTCGCCGTTCCCTGCTGCTTCTTTGATCCCCTGCCTCAGACCCTCACTGCGATTTGATTCTCGTAGACGGCATTTCAAAGCTCTGTGAAGACCTCGAGGTGAGTACATGCTGTGTAGGCGGCATTTCAAAGCTATGCCTTGAAAAATATTGCTTTGAAAGGGATGCCGTGGGGCTGGGGATAAGCTGCAGGAGTCTATTTTTTAGGCGCGTCAAGATGGGCTTGGGATGAGAGTTGCCGGACCGGAGTAGTCACTTTTCTAGCTCCACTGCGCTCATCATCCCTCCTCCTTGCTTGCCCACGGCCCTCTTGTTGAGCCGCCTTGGCCTCTGTGACTCTACCCGTATCTCTTCCTGGTCCCGCGGACCTGAGGTCCATTTTTGAGTCGACTCAAAAATCGACTCTTCCTGGTCCCGCGGACCTGAGGTCCCTCTTCTTCGTTTCCCCCGTACCCTCTCCCCCACTCACTTGTCCTCTTCCCGTGATTTGTTTCCCTTCTGGGCGGCAGGTGGATCCTCAAGATATTGTCATGGTACGTGCGTCATCCGTTCTCCCTTATGCTACTATGCATGCACATGCATCTTATGCATGCAAGTCATAGTTTCATGTGTTGCAAACACTGCATACATGCATCGTACGCCACACAGACTGGCCCGTGCTGCCACCACCCCATTCCTTCCACCGCATGCCATCCCATTTGCCAACCCATACCATATCATGCCATGTCATGCCGACCCATGCCTCCCTCGGCAGTTAAGACTATCATGGC